GCCCCCCCCCCAAGCACCAAGAAGACAGAGCATCCCTTGCCCCAGACCGAGAGTTCCTATCTATGCCGTGTGGCTAATAGCCACTGATGGACCTCTGCTCCATATGCTTATTTAGAAGAACATAAGAGAAGCCAATGTTGGATCAGGCCAACACTCTGTCGCACAGTGGCCAAAAATACCAGGTGCCACCAGGAGGTCCAGCAGTGGGGCCAGGACACTAGGATCCCTCCCACTCTTGCCCCCTCCCCCAAGCACGAAGAAGACAGAGCATCCCTTGCCCCAGGTCGAGAGTGCCTATCTATACCTTGTGGCTAATAGCCACTGATGGACCTCTGCTCCAGATGTTTATCCATAAGAACATAAGAGAAGCCAATGTTAGATCAGGCCAACGGCCCATCCAGTACAACACTCTGTCGCACAGTGGCCAAAAAATACCAGGTGCCCTCAGGAGGTCCAGCAGTGGGGCCGGGACACTAGAATCCCTCCCACTGTTGACCCTCCCCCCGGCACCAAGAATGCAGAGCATCCCTTGCCCCAGACTGAGAGTGCCTAACTATACCTTGTGGCTAAGAGCCACTGATGGACCTCTGCTCCATATAAGAACATAAGAGAAGCCAATGTTGGATCAGGCCAATGGACCATCCAGTCCAACACTCTGTGTCACACAGTGGCCAGAAATACCAGGTGCCATCAGGAGGTCTGCCAGTGGGGCCAGGACACCAGAAGCCCTCCCACTGTCCCCGCCCCCAAGCACCAAGAATACAGAGCATCACTTGTCCCAGCCTGAGAGTTCCTGTCTGTACCTTGTGGCTAATAGCCACTGATGGACCTCTGCTTCATATGCTTATCCAATTCCCTCTTGAAGCCGTCCATGCTTGTAGCCACCGCCACCTTCTGTGGCAGTGGATTCAATGTGTTAATCACTCTTTGGGTGAAGAAGGACTCCCTTTTATCCGTTCTAACCCGACCGCTCAGCAATTCCATGGAGTGCCCACGAGTTCCTGTCTGGTGAGAAAGGGAGAAAAAGACCTCTTTCTCCACCTGCTCTATCCCAGGCATAATCTTGTAAACCTTGATCATGTCACCCGTCAGCCGTCGTTTCTCCAGGCTAAAGAGCCCCGAGTGTTTTAACTTTTCTTCATAGGGAAAGTGCTCTAAACCTTTTATCGTCCTAATTGTCCTTCTCTGCGCTTTTTCCAATGCTATAAGATCCTTTTTGAGGTGTGGTGGCCAGAACTGTACGCAGTACTCCAAGATCCCCCTTTGAGGTGTCTAAAGGGTCGAGCTTTCCCCGTTACAAAAAACTCCGCCCAGCTCTGCATTTCCTCCCCGCACCCCCTGCTAGCGGGGTTCCACGTCTCCATCAGGTTGAAGGTTGACGCTCAAGACCCCCGTTCATTCTTCTTTTTGCCCCCCCCCTTCAGGCTGCATGTGGTCCATCTGTGGGATCCACGACCAGGGCTGGGCCGAACGGGCTGTCTTCGGCAAGATCCGCTACATGAACTACGCCGGCTGCAAGAGGAAGTTCGACGTCCAGCGGTTTGAGTGCAAGTACAGCCCTCGGAAGCTCCCCAAGCAGCCTTCGTAGGCTCCGCTCCCGGGCCGAGGAGCGGCGGCTTTTCGCCTCCTGGACTTTGGGGGAAGCTCTCATGGCTGCTGCGGCGAGGGCCGTCGAGGCTGCCTTCATCCGGGTGGGAGAGAGAACGCCGCTTCCCAAAGAGGAGTCTGTGTTCCTCGAAGTGACGCCGAGCAGCACCTGCCCTGGGGGAGGACTCCCCTGCCTGGCCAAGGGACAGGTGCAGTGCCGCGTCCCGGGGGGGCAGTCCTGTCTTGCTGTTTGGCAGGGCAGTGGCCTTTCAGCGCCCTCTGCTGGCGTGGCCTTGGGCGAGTCTGGAACCTGGCTTGCCTTCCACTCACAGGTGCCGCGATTAACTCCCATAGCCCTTCCCGTCTTACCAAACGAAGAACTGGGCTTACCTGCAGTTCTCTGAAGCCGCTGCTCACCTCTAAAGTGGTTTCGGGACAGCTCTTGAGTTTAGGAGGGAGGGGAAGGGATTAGGTGCGTCGGTTGAGCTGCGTTCCTCTCGCTTCAGGCCAATTCTGTTAGCGTGCTTGGGGGATAGTGCAGTCCCGCACAGGTAGCTTTTCGTAGGGTCTTGGGGATATGGAAGACTGCAGTTAGTAGCACTTGCCCGCTTCCAGTTCTGCAGGGAGTAGCATTGACCGTTCGATGTGTCCCCTCCCAGCCCCAAACTGCCACCACCCTCCTCAAGCTAAGAAGCAGCCTTGAGCTTGGAATTCATGTATGGCTTCCCCTGGGGGAGGGTGTTTTCCCCACCATCCATGTCCATCTCTCTGTTTGGGGGCTAAGCCGTCAGGTTTCTCTCCCATTCTGCATTCTCCCACCAAGGTCACCTTTGCCTCTCTGTAGACCTTTGCTTGGAAAAGGGTGCTGAATTGCCCCGCCTTGGATTTCTCCCTGGTCAAGGAGGCTACGGCCAAAGAGCTTTCTGGCTGCAGGGCTCTCAGTGCAAAGCTAGGAGCAAGGACGTGTGCGCTGCATCCTGCGGATAGGGACCCGGCTGGGGCTTTGGTTCAGGGTCGAAGCGGCAGCTTGTAACGCTTACCTTTTTGTAATGAAATAACACGGCGGGTGCCTGTCTGCTAATGCGAACGGACCAGCAGATGTGTCGCTTCTACTAAAAGGCCATAGTCTTTTATCACTTTCCTAAATTCAGGGTTGCTACAGTCTTTTAATATCCTTGCAAGTAGCTTTCTAGTCAGGGCTCGGAGCAACTGTTACAGCATTGCTAAGTAAGGCTTCATGGTGCTTTTTGAGGGAAATGTTCCAATAATAAAAAAATATGCAGTTGTGCCTTTGTCTCCTTGAAAACGCTCTCATCTTGAAAAATGAGACTTGGGGGGGGGGAATGACGGAATGCAGTGGTCATGCTAGAGCCAAACTGTGCACTGACGTGGGACTGCGGAGTGAGGGGCTCTTCTGTATTGCAGTGACCCTCGGCAGGAGGCAGTTGTTTTCACAGAAGGGAAGAAGGGGGTGTTATAGAATCACAGAGCTGGGGGGGACCACAGAGGCCATGTAGTCCAACCCCCCACTCAGTGCAGGATCAGCCTAGAGCATCCCTGGAAAGTGTTTGCCCGGCTGCTGCTTCAAGACTGCCAGGGAGGGGGAGCTCACCACCTCCCTAGGCAGCCGATTCCACAACTCTTCCTGTCAAAAGGTTTTCCCTAAAGTCCAGCCGGTCCCTTCCTGCCCTTAATTTACACCCATCCTTGCGAGTCCTCTCCTCTGCCGCCCACAGGAACAGCTCCCTGCCCTCCTCTGAGTGACAGCCCCTCAAAGACTTCAAGAGAGCCATCCTGTCCCCCCCTCCACCTCCTCTTCTCCAGACTGGACATTCCCAAGTCCCTCAGCCTTTCTTCACAGGGCTTGGTCTCCAGCCCCCCCCCATCATCCTCGTCGCTCTCCTCTGCACCCGCTCCATTC